TAACAATAATAATAATAATAACAATAATAATAATGATAATTTTACAGCAGAAACAATGAATTACGCTAGTACCGAAAGCTCCATATTATTGCCACCAGTCACAGAGTTCGGTCCATAAACTGACATCGAAGCATTCCTCAGGTGCAGAGAACTAAGAGCAAAAAAACTGCACAGCAGCAACATGCTTCCCTCGTAGCTTGCTGCACACACCTCTGCCCAGAAGCTTCATGACATTATGCTCGGTTTAATAAACACAGCAGGCAGAATGTTGATTTACAAACTTATTAGCTTGTTATGACTGTCTCTGTATTTGACATGACATCCGCTTGGATTCTGGTAGCCTATCTCGTCTCGACTCTATGGACTTTATTTTGTAAAAATAATAATTTATTTGCTGCTGTCTCACTTCCAAAACGTTCCTCGAGTACAAGGGCATAATATGTTATCCGCCCAAAACGGCTTGACATTGTTTTTCTACATCTTCACAAGTACGAGGGTGTGGTGGCGGAGCGGTTAGTGCGCTCGTCTCCGAAGCGGAAAGTCTGGGTTTGAGCCTCGGTTCGGACACGAATTTTTTTTCGCCCCCTCCTGCCCGCCTATCAGTAATGGGTACTTGACTTCGAGTTGGGGAAGTAAAGGCGGCGTATAAAGGAATTAGCCTCCCTATCACTATATGCCGAAGGCCCAGGAAGTTGTCTCACTAACAAGGCAATCCCCAATGACCAGATCGGATGCGGGAACAACTTTACTTTTTTCATAAGTACAGCGCCTCAGGGTTTTGACAGAACAAAAGCGTGACTCTATTGTTTAGACAAATTAGCCTTTAGATGCTTTTATTGAGCTTTAAAGAAATACTTTTCTTTTCTTGTACTTTAGGAACATAATCCATCGCATTAAGGTCTAACGCCACCTTTCTCAGAGCCAACCCGGGCTGATTACGATAGTGCAACCATGACAAAGACTGTGATACTCAACTACTTCTCTTCCCACAATGGACCTGGGCAATCGTCCAGTACGTGCAAAGTGAAGAGCCTGAGTAATCTTTCTGCCTACTACTTTTCCGTTCATATCTCTCTGTTTCCATCCACACTGTAGTTCTCTCTCTCTCTCTCTCTCTCTCTCTCTCTCTCTCTCTCTCTCTCTCTCT